TAGGATTTGTTGTTAGTGAGCAGGGAATTCAAATGGATGAAGAAAAAGTTGCAGCAATCAAGAATTGGCCAAGCCCGGAGACGGTGAGTGATGTAAGGAGTTTCCATGGACTTGCAAGCTTCTATCGACGCTTTGTGAAAGATTTCAACACCATTGCTGCACCATTGACGGAAATCATCAAGAAAAATGTTGGATTCCAATGGAACGAAGCTCAAGAAACAGCATTTCAACTCTTGAAAGGGAAGCTTACTGACTCTCCTCTTTTATCTCTTCCAGATTTTTCCAAAGCTTTTGAGATTGAATGTGATGCTTCTGGCGTAGGTATTGGAGCTGTGTTGATGCAAGAAGGAAGGCCAATTGCATACTTTAGTGAAAAGTTGAATGGAGCTTCGTTGAACTATCCAACGTATGACAAAGAATTGTATGCATTAGTGAGGGCGATGCAAATGTGGCAGCACTATCTTTGGCCGAAAGAATTCGTGATTCATACGGATCATGAGTCCTTGAAACACTTAAAAGGTCAGCATAAGCTAAACCGCCGACATGCCAAATGGATTGAATTCCTTGAAACATTTCCTTATGTTATTCGTTACAAGCAAGGAAAGGAAAATATAGTGGCTGATGCATTATCTAGACGGTATTGTTTATTGTCTTCTCTTGATGCTAAGTTGCTAGGTTTTGAATACATTAAGGAATTGTATGAATCTGATCATGATTTCCATGAAGTGTTTCAATCTTGTGCAAAAACTGTTTCTGGAAAGTATTTTCGGCATGAAGGATTTCTGTTCTGAGAAAATAAACTTTGTGTTCCTAATTGTTCGTTGCGAGATCTACTGGTTAGAGAAGCACATAGTGGCGGACTAATGGGGCATTTTGGAGTGGCCAAGACCTTGTCCATTTTGCAGGAACATTTTTACTGGCCGCATTTAAAGAGGGATGTCGAGAGAATCTGTGGACGATGCGTGACATGCAAGAAAGCTAAGTCCAAACTTCAGCCACATGGTATGTATTCTCCTTTGCCAATTCCTAGTGTGCCTTGGACTGATATATCTATGGACTTTGTGCTTGGATTGCCTAGGACTAGGAGTGGAAAAGATTCAATTTTTGTGGTGGTTGATAGGTTTTCAAAAATGGCTCATTTCATTCCTTGCCATACCACCGATGACGCTTCGAATGTTGCTTCGTTGTTTTTTCGAGAAGTTGTTCGTCTTCATGGCATGCCTAGGACTATAGTTTCAGACCGTGATGTGAAATTCTTGAGTTACTTTTGGAAAACATTGTGGTCTAAACTAGGAACTAAGTTGTTATTTTCTACAACATGCCACCCTCAGACCGATGGACAAACTGAAGTTGTTAATCGAACATTGTCTTCTTTGTTGCGTTCACTTGTCAAAAAGAATCTTAAAACGTGGGAAGAATGTTTGCCTCATGTTGAATTTGCTTATAATCGATCAGTTCACTCTGCTACTCAGTTTTCACCTTTTGAAATAGTTTATGGCTTTAATCCATTGACTCCATTGGATTTGATTCCTTTGCCATTATCTGAGCAAACTAACCTTGATGGGAAAAGAAAAGCTGAGTATGTTAAGCAGATTCATGAGAAGACAAGGATGAATATTGACAAGAGAACAAAGCAATATGCAAAACAAGCGAACAAAGGACGTCGGGAAGTGATCTTTGAACCAGGCAATTGGGTTTGGATAAACATGTTTAGTGATGAGGACATTGGAAGCACGACGGAACAAAATGGGAGCAACGTGGATCACATCAGTTTTCCGGATGGACCCATGACGAGATCAAAGACAAAGAAGCTACAAGCTGCTCTAAATGGGCTCTTTCTTGAATGTTTGGGCCATGAACACATGGAAAATAACATTGGCCCAAGTCATACACAAGTTCAGCCCATTTTCAACATGATATCAAGTGAAGAAAGCCCAAAATGAAGGCCCAAAAGTTGCAGCCCAAGTCCATGACGAAAATGACAAAAAAATCTGCATTTTGAGTCTTCAATGTTGCTTACAATCTACTCTAGTCAAAGTCCAACACTATTATGACTTTGTTTTCCAATAAGTTCAAAGTTTTAGGAAGACTAGTATTAATTCTACACTTTTATGTCTTTTGGTGTTGTTTTGGTTCTCCTATAAATAGGTGAACTAAACTCATTTGTAATCATGAATCATCTTTTATATATTTGAGAGGTTTTCTCTTCAAAGTTCTTTGAGAACTATTTTCTGAACTTATCGGATTCATCCGTGGCGTTCATCTTCGACTTATCAAACGTTAGTCCATAAACGTTTGTGGCGTCTTCGCAACACCAACGTTTCTAATCCAGGTTTGCTTAGGGGTTTAGGACGTTTCTTGTTTCAAGAAATTGGACCTAGGTTTCTTTCACGAGTTGATTAGGGGTTTTGGTTATTTCCACCGCCTTTCTAGAGAATTTCGATCCGAGATCGTATCATTTCTGTTGATGAAAAAAAATTAAAAGTATAGGTATATTTTAAAATAAAATAATTGTACATATTATTTTAGATAAAAAAAAATAAAATAGAGTTTATATTACACCAAAATAAAAACATAGGCTTTTTTGGTAATTTATCCTTTATATATATATATATAATAAAACTACAAATATAGAGTTTTTTCTATATATATATATATATGCCATTTTTTTGTATATATATTCAAATTTTGGTGATCTAGTTGTACAAGATGATTCAAAATATAATTTTATCCTATTTCAAATTTAGACAGAGAGAAAAGCATTTAGATAAATAAAAATTTATCTCTAACAACGACGGACTTTGGAGGTCAGTAAACCTTTCTATTAAAAAAATACGTATATATGCGAACTTTTCCCACGTATATATATATATTTATTTGTTAAATTACGTGTATACTTGTATATATATATATATTGATCGTATGTGTGACAATTTCATAATTTTGGGACCCATCACCAAGTTGGTGATTCCAACCGAAATCCAATGCAAAAATAAGATAAATTCAAAGTCAAGTGGGAACCAAATAATTGTATTTCACTTCATCTCAAATCATTACAGCCTTTTGTTTGTACCAACCCTTTTATAATATAGCCATTTTATTAATGTTGTAACAATGTATATATAAATATGAAATTTGGAAAATGATGAAAAACGTATATATACATATACACACACGTAATATACACGCACAAAAAAAAAGGATCAAGCTTGTTTTATTGTTGTATTGTTTTTCTTGTTCACTACATAAATACAGTTTGAAAAAGGATCAAGCTTATAACATGTTTTTAATAGGGGCATTATCAAAAATACCCTTACTTTGCTATTTTTATTTCAATACATATATTTCTTCACCTGCGACCATGTGATCCATGTGATCCAAAATATAGTGTAGTCACAGGTTGACGTAAAATTTATGATGTTGTAATCAAATAATTAGTAAGATATATAAGATATGAACATAATGAATTAGTGAGATCACTATAAATTTAACGTTATAATCAATAAAATCAAAATGTGACCACACTATATTTTGGGTCACATGATAATAGATGGAGAATGGTATGTGTTGAAATATGAATAACAAAGTAAGAGTATTGTTGATATATTTCCTTTTAAATATGAAATAAATATAGAATTAACAATATCTTGTGGTTATCCAAAAATAACCGGTTAAAAAATATTTATAGTTATTAATTTAAGATTTAATGGGGCTTATGTGACAAGAATTCGAATTAATTTGAAATTTGTAGCTTTTAAAACATTTACCAATATGGTTTGTCTATTGAATTTAGTACGAACAATACGTTATTAAATTTGGATCCGTTCGATTTTATTTATCATCGCTAACAGGAACTTCCTCTGTATATTTATTATTTATTTATCCATAACAATAGGGTAGAACCGTTGTTATCATTAATTAATAAATAATTAGAATATTTTATTTTCTCTCTTTAATTAGCAAATTTGCTTATGTATTCAGCCTTTCGGCTGAGTCTCTGATTTCTGAGATCTAAAGACAATATTCTATGTCCTTTAGCTGCATAAATAAAATACATTTTAATCTGTCTGAATATGCATTGAATTAAGAATGACCATTTTTTTTGTCTTATTTGCTGCAATATATATATATATATATATGTATGAAAAAATCTCAAAACAAAACCTAAAATTTTCAAATTTTACAAAATAAAATTTAAACTTTGTTTTTTTATCAAATAAAATCTTAACTTTATTTATCAGTAAAAAATAAAGTTAAATTTTATAATTTTTGTCATTTTAAATTTATCATTTATCTCACGTTTGAGTTTATTTGACTGAACAATGAAATTGATATTTTATTTGATAAAAAAGAAAGTTTATGTTTTATTTAGTGAAAATTAAAAAATTCAGTATTATTTTGAGATTTGGAGAGAGATATTATTTTTTATTATTTTTTGTTTGACGTGCTCATTAATCTTTTCACACATACATTTAAAGATAAGTTTTGATAGTTACACTTCACCACCAATAATTTTATCATATTTATTTTTATCGCAGATTGGAATTATAACAAAAATTTTAAATGAAAATCTTCATTTATATTTGTAAGATATCAACATTAAATAAAATATTTAACCAAAAAACATTAAATAAAATATACAGAATTTATATTATTACACATCCGTGAGTCCAATATTGTGCCTAGGTGCTGGCTTTAGGGCAGGAAAAAAAGGAACGTAGTTTCCGTTAAAAAACCTATAAAAAAACATACTTATATTTAAAATTATCTATATATTTTAAGAAAATATTATACTATATGGTATAATACAATACAAGAATAATGGAAAATAGTTTACCAAAAAAAAAAGAATAATGGAAAATAAAATTTTCTATATAAAGTTTAAAGGCCTGTTTTGCTTGGACAAATATAAAGGCCCGGCCCAAAAAATTCGATCTTATGCAATTAACCATAATCGTTCGCCACGTGGCTTAATATGATTCGTTAAACTATGTGTCAGACCCAAAAGCGTTGACCATCGAATACAGGGATTTTCTCTCAGTTGAATTCGAAGCCATCCCACCGCTTTCGGAGGTGTTCCGTTTATCTCTCTACCTCCACCGCTCGTGAGTCAACTCCTCTCATTCGATCTGATTCTCCTCCCCTTTTTTTTTTAATCTCTTTTGATTTTACATTGTTTTCTCTGTTTTCGTGGTTTCTCCTGCGGAATTTGTGAGTTTTTCTCAGTTTCAAATTTTTTGTTTGGAGCTGAATCGGTTCTGTGTTGCTTGATCTGTGTTTCTCTTGTTGATTTGTAACGAAAAGTTATTTTTTCGGTTTGGATCAGAGATTTTTGTGGTAGATCTGGATTTAGATTGCATTCTAATGCCGCGTGAGAGTCAAATTCAGTTTTCATTGTTCAGGTAGGGTTTAGGTTTTTTTTTTTGTTAAAGAGGTAGGGTTTAGGTTTCCAAGCCCGAGTAGGATTTAGGATTTTAGTTCGTTTTTATCATTTCGGTTCGTGATTTAGGATTTTTTTTTGTTGTTGTTTTGATTTCGATTTTGGTTTTCATGTGGCGGAGATTGGTGCGTGGTGTTTGGATTTGTTCGATTTCCTTGTGATTTCGAAGTGGGTTGACCGTATACTGTCTTTGATCTTTGTATTTGTTTTATGTCTGATTCCGAAGGATTTATGTCTTGTATTGGCATTCATGGGCTCATGGAAGAAAAACATCTGTAGTTGATCTGTTTCATCGTCTGTTGTTTGTTTGTTTGTGTGAGCTATGAAGTGAAATTACGTTGTAGGATTCCTCAAAGTTGTTCGATGACTCCTTTCATGAATTGCATTCTTTTATGTGCAGATGGAAGGTTGTAAGCTTGTTTCTTTTCTGAATTCGCAGTTTGATTTAGCGATTTCTGTATCAAAATGCTGACCCTTTTAGCTCCCGGTTCATCGAAGTTGACGTGATACTGCTTTTGAAATATGCAGAAGCAAATCTTCTTGGTAGAACCTATTTCATAGTACAACAATGGGAGGAGGATTCAGAGTTTTGCATCTGGTCAGGCCATTCCTTGCCTTTCTACCTGAGGTCCAGAGTGCTGACAGGAAGGTACCTTTCAGAGAGAAGGTCATCTACACTGTGATCTCTCTTTTCATTTTCCTCGTCTGCAGTCAGCTTCCTCTGTATGGAATTCACTCTACCACGGGTGCGGACCCATTCTACTGGATGCGTGTCATTCTCGCATCGAACCGTGGGACCGTCATGGAGCTCGGTATTACTCCTATTGTCACCTCTGGACTGGTGATGCAACTCTTGGCTGGGTCAAAGATCATCGAGGTTGACAACAATGTCCGTGAGGATCGTGCCCTCTTGTAAGTAATGAAGTTGCAAATGTTCAATTTGACAATGCAAACCCCATTGAAATTACTTCCTCACCCAAATTGTTGCGTTTTGTTTTGTAGGAATGGTGCCCAGAAACTGCTTGGCATTCTCATAGCCATTGGTGAGGCTGTTGCATATGTTCTTTCTGGAATGTATGGTCCAGTTGGCCAACTCGGTGTTGGAAATGCCTTCCTCATCATCCTTCAGCTTTTCTTCGCCGGAATCATTGTTATCTGCCTTGACGAGCTTCTTCAGAAGGGTTATGGTCTCGGCTCTGGAATATCCCTTTTCATAGCAACCAATATCTGGTAAGTTAATCGCGTTTTCCACATTAAAGATTTATTTTTCTGTAGCAGTTAACATTTTACGGCTTTCTTACACTGTGAATTGATTGCGACACAGTGAAAGCATAATCTGGAAAGCATTCAGCCCCACGACCATCAACACTGGGCGTGGAGCCGAGTTTGAGGGAGCTGTTATCGCATTGTTCCACATGCTGATAACTAAGTCCAACAAGGTTGCTGCCCTTCGTCAGGCTTTCTACCGACAAAACCTTCCAAACGTTACCAACTTGCTCTCGACTGTATTGGTCTTCCTGATCGTGATCTACTTCCAAGGTTTCCGTGTCGTTTTGCCCGTGAGATCGAAGAATGCTCGTGGGCAACAGGGTTCTTACCCGATCAAGCTGTTCTACACGTCCAACATGCCTATCATCCTCCAATCTGCCCTCGTGTCAAACCTTTACTTCATCTCTCAGGTTTTTAACATTCTTCCCTCACCCACATGAATCTAAGTAGAGGTTCTGCTATAACAATGTCTTTGTCAACAGCTTCTCTACAGGAAATTCGGTGGAAACTTCTTTGTTAACCTGTTGGGAGTGTGGAAAGAATCCGAGTACAGCGGCCAGTCTATGCCAGTCGGTGGTCTCGCTTACTACATTACCGCCCCAGCAAGGTAATGCCATCTCCATCTCCTCTCTCCTCGTGTATCTCTGATATTGCGGTTTTTGCCCATAACCCGTTTTCTTTTCCTGATTTTACAGCTTGTCGGACATGGCAGCTCATCCCTTCCATGCTCTGTTCTACATCGTCTTCATGCTCACGGCCTGCGCTCTCTTCTCAAAGACTTGGATCGAAGTCTCGGGATCTTCAGCCAGAGACGTAGCTAAGCAACTCAAGGTATGTTTAAAAGATCTAAACACTAGGGATGACGGATGAGCATTCGGTTCGGTTATGCATAACCGGAACTGAATAACAAATGACCACAACCAAACCGAATTTGATATAAAAACTTGATGGGTACCGACCTAAACTGAATATAAAAAAAAAACTGAAAATTTCTTTTAAAATGAGCATTTTTTTATAGTTAAAAACCAAAACGGAACCAAAACCAAACCAAACCGAATGGATATAGGTATTATAAAACCGGAAACCGAGACGTCTAACTAGCACTAACTAAACACATCTTTCTTTCTCTGGGAGGAAACCCTGATTCTGAAACTCTTGTGTCTATCTTTTAACGTGAAGGAGCAACAAATGGTGATGCCTGGACACAGAGACTCGAACCTGCAGAAAGAGCTGAACCGTTACATCCCGACGGCGGCTGCATTCGGGGGAATGTGTATCGGAGCGCTGACCGTTCTGGCCGATTTCATGGGAGCGATCGGCTCGGGGACCGGGATCTTGCTGGCCGTGACCATCATCTACCAGTACTTCGAGACGTTCGAGAAGGAGAAAGCCAGTGAACTCGGCTTCTTCGGGTTCTAGGGTGGATTTTTTTTTTTTTTTGGAGGGGTTTTATTAGAAGCTCTTTTTTTTTCGAATTTATTTGGTGAGACAAAAAAAAAGAGGGTTATGCTACACTTATAGACAGATTTATTTTATATGTATTGGTAGGAATCACTCTTGAAGCAATAAAGTTTTATATAAATCCTATATATATAGTGTGTGTGTATATATAATGGTAAGTGTGTGTATATTTGTTGCGAACTCCTATGGAGGAGTGTATATTTTTTAAATTCCAAATGATTTTCATAATTCGACGAAATCTCTCTCATACACATACGATGAGGTAAAAGTAAAATCCCTAAATAAGAGAATATAGGTCTAGTTGATTAATTATATTCCATTGGAATGAAAAATATATAATAGATTGAAAATGTTCAGTGCATATAGTTTGTTATAATTTTAAACCCAAACTATTGTTTTATATTAATCAATTAAACTATGTTTATCTTATGGTTAATTATCCTAAAAAATATACTTATTATAAATGTATCGTTTAATTAAAAAAAACATTTAAATGGAAATAATTGTGATTTTATTGTATCTAAAAATATATTCCGATAACCTTATTTGTGAGTTCGTTAAAAATGAAATAACATTTTTTTTTAAATGATAACATGATTTTAAATGAATCTTTACGAATAAAATTTAATAAATATTGGTTGTTTATATTATACAATTTTCATTTTCTTAAAGTTAAGTGAACAATCATTTGGATTATTGATTAAATAAATGCAATTGTTCAACTTTAATTTTAGTAATACTCTTCTTTTGCAACTTATAATCACTGATTTTCGGGAAAATGATATTTTCCTCCATGAATTTAATCAAATGTAACATTTTCGTATACATATTTTTAATTTGACAAAAAACTACATTTGAATTTAAAATTTTCCAAATGTTTACACGAATTGTTAAAAATTAAAAATAATTACATACATAATCATCATTTTCGTTAAAATTTTTTAGATTCTTTTAACTAATGTATTAGTTAAGTAATTAATATAATTACCATATATTTTACTGTATTAGTTAATAGAATCCAAAAATTTTTAACGAAAATGATAATTAGATATATAATTACCGTTAATTTTAACTATTTGTATACAGCGTTTGAAGAACTTTTTTGTCAAATTAAAAATACTTAAGTTATATTTGACTACGTCGGAAAAATACTGTGCGACCCTTTTGTAAACGTGAGAATTATAACCAGCATCGTGAAACGTGAAGGAGTCCGGTTCAGATAAACCGGTTCGACTATCGATCGGTTTAACTCCGGTTATAGAAGCCGTCGGTACAACATCAGTCTCAAGACAACCGCGTAGGGCTTTTGTGGATTCCTCTCTCTCTCTCTCTCTCTCTCTCTCTCTCTCTCCTCTCTCTCGCTCTCGCTCGCTCGCTCTCGTCTTGTTCTGAAACTTTTGTGTCGGAGCTAGTTACGGCGGCGAGGACCAAATGCCTCGCACCACCACTATCGAGGCGCCCGGTTGTCCGCCTCTCCGTGCTCTCACCTTTGACTCTCTCGGCCTTATCAAAGGTCTCTCTCTCTCTCTCTGGGCAGAATCTCGTGTTACTGGTCGATTTTGAGTACCATATAGCAGTTCTTGAATTGGGATTTTCCCTGTTTTCCACTTCGATGTCGCAGTGATTGAAGCTCGTGGTAAGGAGAGAGGGCTTGCGACTGTTGTCGATAGATGGGGTGAACCGGATTCTTCTAGATGTGTTCTTGCCGCTTCCATGAACGACCGACACAGAGATCCGGTAAAGTTCCGATTTTTATCTATGTCCGAATCTCGTTCTGCCGGAAAATTAGTTTGAGCTTGTTTTCTTTATTGGGGTAATACGCTCTAGCTGTTTAGCTTCGTTTGCTCTGAAGGGCTTCAACTCATTGTTCTTGGTCCTGGAGAATGATTATAGTTGCAGCGGGTAGAAATCTGTTGATGCTAATGGCTGGCTACTGGTAACTGTTTAATTACTTGGCATTGTGACCCATCTGTATGAAGAGCTCATAAATTGAATGTGAATTCGTTAATTGCAGTTGATAACACATTGGCATATGCATTCATTTTCTTGACAACTAATATTTTTCTAGTTTTCTTTAATGATTTGAAGTGGTGGAAACTCTTATTCTGCGTGATATTTGAAGTCTCTGTATGGAAGTTTGGTGTGATGTATGTAGCTAATGGAGGGTTGATTGATTTTCCTCCTTGAGTCTCTTCTTATTCATCCGTGCTATGGAATAGTTTTGCTTATATTGCATGGATGGGACTAATTGTATTGTCCAAAGTACTTCTATAACATTATCTTTCATAATTAGTTGTGAAATTTTCTTTGTGATCAACACAGCCATGCGAAAAAAGGTTCATTTGGAATCACATCTTCATGTCATGTTTGCTCATACATGGCCCTTTTAGCATTTTTCTTGTTTCTCTTCTCTAAACTCGGCTTTTGTCCCTTTTCTTCTGATTTCAGCTACTGGCAGTTGCAAGAAAAAATGGTTCTGTAAGTATTTTTCTTTCTAAGTTGTGGTTTTTTCTCCATGGAGAAGTTAACATTAACTAACGGTATTGCCCGTTTTAATGTTTTTCTATAGATTGAGGTTCTTAATCCTCTTAATGGCAATCTTCACTTTACATTCTCTGTGGCTGGTGATGATGGCTGCCAAGCTGAGGATGATGAAGTTACTGGTTTGCATCTATTCAGAAAACAAAACCCGGATCATGAAAATAGGTATCATCATATCATGTCATTGACATTCTTCACAAGTTGAATCATGCCATCAGTGAAATTTTATGCAATCCTTTTCAAGCTGTATGTGTTCATCAGTAACATGTCACAATCTAATATCTTCTTTTTAGGACATGTACGTTGCTTACATGCAAGAAAAAGGGAGATGTGAGCCTCAGATCAATCAGTTTTCCGGATGGACAAAAAGATTCTCTGGATATATCTTCTGCAAAAACCTGGAAAGCATGTGGATCGGGTGATTTATTGTTCGCTAAAGTGGATGGAAGTGAAAACTTCGCCTTATCCGGAGGGTCGGTGATGGAAAAAGTTCATTGATTTGCTCAATTCAAGAATTAACATACAATTCCTGCAGTGATTCGCTTCCATACTTGTTACAAAAGTGTTATCTTGAATGTCCAGGAAAAGGGTTGAAGTCAATATATGGGATCTTGATAAGTGTGCTAAGATATGGAATGCAAAATCTGTGAGTTGCTTTCTCATCCTATCTCTGTAAAGCCTCTTCCTTTCATCAAAATATCAGCTCTTTATGCATATGATCTCTGTAAAGCCTCATCCTTTTATCAAAATATTAGCTCTTTATGCATATGATCTAACCGAATTTTAATGGGCAGCCTGCTAAGGACAGCCTCGGGATCTTCACCCCGACTTGGTTTACATCTGCCGCATTCTTGAGTGATGACAATCACCGTAAATTCGTCGCTGGAACCAACAGTCACCAGGTCAAAATTCGAAAGAGACCCTTTTCTACTTGTGGGATTTACTGCAAAGATACAGAATTTCCTTCACTTAGTCTGTTTGTATTGATGATTTTCCTTTAAAACAGGTTCGTGTGTATGACATTTCTGCACAGCGCAGACCAGTGTTGTCTTTTGATTTCCGTGAAACGGCCATCAAATCAGTTGCTGAAGACACAGATGGGAATACTATTTATGTGGGGAATGGTTCAGGCGACCTCGCCTCTTTTGATATACGCACCGGTACGTTTACTGTCCGCGAGTTCTCCGTAGTTTGATCACTAAAAGATCGAAACTCGGAAAGGTTTATATGCTTCAAATTGAGGTTTAATAGACACCGATATCGAGTAATCTAACCGTTGAGCTAATCAACATACCCGTTAGGTTTGGCACGGGTTGAGTATCCGTCCGAGTTTTTTTAGTGTACCCGACCTCGGTCTTGCAGGCTCGGGTTTCTTGGTAGGATTAGCGGTGTGGTCAAGCCTTTTTTTTCTTTTCTAAATAAGCTTCTCATAGAGGAAAACCCTAAACCTTCTCTGGCCTCTATCAGTCACGACAGTGCGGCCTCTCTTGCCCTCAATCCTCTCGTGTCGGGTTACCCGCGAGTACGGGTAATCATCTGCCAAAACCCGAACCCAGAGGTCGTTTTCTCGCCTTGTGAGACCCGTCCTCCTCCCGAATTTCGGGTACTCTACTCGTGTGTCGTGTCGGGTAGTCAAAAGTTTTGGATCAGGTGAGATTCTGAGTGGTGAAAGTATGATATGATGAAACAGGAAAGATGATGGGATGCTTTGTGGGGAAGTGCTCAGGGAGCATAAGATCCATAGTTAGGCATCCACTTCATCATGTTATAGCATCTTGTGGTAAGTTTAAATAATAATAATAATCTTTATATATACATATATCTATATATATATATGTATATATTTATGACAAAAGTCTGTCTTTGGTCGGAATAATTCAGGATTAGATAGATATGTGCGAGTATGGGATGTAAAGACACGACAACTCCTTTCCTCGGTAACGACTGTTTTCTTCTTCCATGAAAACCCTAAACCCTTTTATTTATCGTTTTTTTTTGTTTGATCAAATCTTAAGGAACGTTGATTGTTGTATTTGCAGGTTTTCTTGAAGCAGCATCTTACGGGTCTCGTTTTCGACTCGGGATTCAACGGCAAAGGTTAGTTAGTTTACCTCGTGGTTGCGGGTTTGTTAAAAGTTTTCGGGTAGTGTTTCATTATATACACCGTAACTATCCGACCACGGCCCGTGCGGCGAATAACCAGACTCGGCTGAAGGGAACGGCACTGAGGATGCGGAAGAAGAGGAGACGGAGAAGAACGGAAACAACGACGGGAGCGAAGACGAGACGGAGATAGCTTCTGGAAAGAGGAAGACGTCGAAGAAAGCGAAACGGAACAGACATAGTGTTGAGGAATCCGACCAGGACGACAACAACAATAAGATGAAGATGATGATGATGAAGAAGAAGACGAAGAGCAAAAAGGCCAAACACGGCCGAGATTTAGATTGAGCTAACAAGAACCATAGCCGCCATTTTTTTACGTATACGCCATTAACACAAGAAAACAAATTCATTAGATTTTCAAGAAAAGCATGATAATGGTCTTATGAATTTTCAAGGATTTAATTCAAAATTGAAATGAAAAGAGAAAAAGAATTTATACCATCAATCCCAAATGAATTTGGGTTAAGTCCAGAAACGATTCTGAATAAATTTGGTATAGATCTAAAACCGTAATGAATTAAAAAAAAAAGAGAATTTATATAATCGGTTCTAAATAAATTAGGGATTAAAACAATATTGTTGATTAATGTTTTACCCATTTTAATATGTTGATCTCATTCCAATCACTTTTTTTTCTCTTTTTCCCACATATTCTCTTGTAACTTTTCAAAGTCTCGAGAGAATTTAATCAAAATGAAATCGAGAAAATTGAAGTTCGAAACAAGAACATGCCTGTTTCTCGTAGTTCTTTTTTTTGAGAAGTTAGATGAATCGAACCTTAAACCATGTCGTCGTTTCGATGTCGAAGCTACAAACAAACCGTCTGTCATCAGGGGCAGACGTTTTTCCGAGGAACAAAACCGCTGCGAAAACTTCCCTCGGCTACTCCGTTTTTGTTGTCTGCCCGCTCAAGCCGGAAGTTGAAGTTTGGTGTTGTTCTTCCAACTAAACACGAAAAACGAGATCCGAGATTAGATGACACATTCATTCAATCACCAATGCTAAAAGAAGAAGTGATTCTAGTGTGGGGAGTGTCTGGTTTTTCACCTGATGTAATAGTAGTAGAAGAAATCGGCGTAGATAGCTGTTTGGATGACGCCCGATACACACGCTGGCAAAACGATATACGGTATTGACAATGGAGTTTTCACCGGTTACAACCCCACGAAATTAAAAAGAAATGTTAAAGTTTTGAAGAAGAGAGGTTTACCGATCCATCGAGTGAAGTATACTTCTGTGAAGTAGCGGTAGATCCAGTTGAGAATATATAAAGCACGATACGCTCTGCATGTCAAATACCAGAAGAAGAAAAAAAGTTTGTAACTTGTCTGTGGCTTATTTATCAGGATGTGGAAATGTGTATTGAAAACTAAACACTAAGCAAACTCGTGACCGGTCAGATTCAACGAAAACCCGACAATCAGATTAAAGGGAATACAGAAAAACGGAAGAGAAGTGTTGAAAACTGAGAAAAAGGAAAGACAATTGAAAGGACAGAAGTGAGTGGTGATGATCAATTTTAAAGCAAGCATCTGTATTGTGGAAGGCATGGCATGGCAAAGAAGAAAATGCTGTTCTAACCAAATCAGGAGATAAAAAGACACATTGAATCGACCATCTTTTAGTTAATTGGCACTGTTGTCATATCCTACGACCGAGCGTGCCCAAATATCGAACCTAACTAGTCAAAACCAATGGATCTAGAAATACATACCCGAGGAAGAAAACATATTGCCCAGTCAAATTGTCCACATTCCCACTTCTTTGTAGCAGAACCAGCTGGGGAAGAATTGCAACCGCCTCCAGGTATATCGAAAAGGCCCAGAACACCTGGAAGAATTCACTTCAAAATGTTAGCATATTGATTGCATCTTGTAGGTCCAGGTATCAAGATAGAGAAGCCATGCTGCAAATTACTAGTAAGTTTTAAAGACAAGAAAAGTGGAAAAGGTTCCAAGGAGCATAAATGTAAAGGATACAAATGTAATGGACTTCCAGCTACAAAATCACGATGAAGATGACGAAGAGATCAAACACTGAAGCAAATGAACAACTTGAAGCTATATTAATGAAAAAGTTGAAAAAAAAGTATACTTGAGTAAACGATGACATAAAAATCCATGAAAACCTTATGATGCAAGCCACTTGATGGCAGCAGCTTCGGCAGACAGAAGCAGCCAAAAACTCTACATCTAAACTGATTTAGCAGTATGAACACCAGCCACAACGTCTTATATTGAAGCTCACTTCATATTGAAAAGGAACAGCTGGAATTATGACTTTGGAGATGAATAAATGGGGGCAGAAACTTCTTTTGAATCAACCAAAGTCCAACAAGGGAAAAGTCCCTGGTCCCTCGGCTATGCCAACACAAATCCCTTAGAAATTCTATGATGATCCCTATACCCTTCTTATTCCTGTAACTAAACCCAACAACAAGAAATAGGAAAAGGAAACTAATGATAACAGAATCACAAACATAAATCAAGAACTAAAATCAAACCCAATCACCTAAAAGACTTGATCAATCACGGATTTGCTAATACGCTTACCAGTCCCCTAAATTATTCCCTATCACATACAAACATACCTCTTGAAAGGTGAATTTCTCATTCAGAAGAAGTGCCAAACCAAAACATGCTAACACGACGAATTGATGACGAAATGTGTCCAGGTCTTTATCGTATGACCGGCGGACGACTGGATGCCTACGCATGCACCAAACGATCGCCAAAGAGCTGACAATGAAGACGATCTTCATCACGCTGTTGTACAGTGATATGTAGTCCGTGAACAGGTCCAAGTACCGAGCCAAGAACACAATTGCATATAGTTCCTGGGTCTTGAGCGAAATTCCTAAACAAACGCAAGGTCAACATAACCCTGATTCAAAAACTTCGAAAGAGACATCAAATCATTCATCTGTATTTTTCATTGAACACAACCTATCCTAGAAGACGGCTATTCAGAAAGTCAAATGAGTCAATCCAAAAGTTTCGGATTCCACGATTCTGCAACACAATTCCGTCACTCGCCAACACATTTCCAATTCAAGATTATACGATAGATAGCGATTTCACCCCTGTTTGGCTTGGAATTACAAGTTTCCGACTCAAATTCGACCTTTGAACCGATTACAAATGGGCAACAGTAGTCAAACATGACTAGATTTGGATGCTCTGAAAATGACGGAAGATACAAAAACTATCATTTGACGTAGCTAGTCAACACAGAGATTCGACCACGAACGATCTCCTACTATTCATCTACCGAAGAAGAATCAATCCGAAACCAAAATGCAAAATCTAAGCAGTAATTCCTAACCAAATCTGTCTAAATTGCTCGGGAAAATGCGAGAAAAATCATCGACCAAAAGCGAGAGAACCCGAGCTAAAACGAGAACCACTCACCCGCGCAGGATTTGGTAGCATAGATTTTGAGGAGAAGGATCAATATACTGATCAAGTGAGTCATATCACCAGCGAATCTGAAGATATTCATGGTTGACCAGAAACCGAAGACGAGAGATTCAACGCACACAAATTTTCCAGGAATCCAAACAAAGCAGGAAAAAGAAACGGAAAATTTTCTTCTCGCCTCGAATCTCTAGATTCTCGAGAGAGAAAGTGAAGGAGAACAAAAGGAAATTTTTTTCAATATAATTGTTTTTTGAAGCTTAGAGCAAAAAAAAAAAAAAAAAAAAAATTACACAAGAATGCACGTTTCATGTTTTCCCCACCCCCACAATAACAAAGGGAGGCGATGACGTGGCAGTCTGTCCTCTAAAATGCGCTCGGTATTATTTTTAATCCTTCAATAATTAAATATTGCCGCCTAAATAAATTTAATATTCTTGCTTAATCTCAAAACTAATCCAGTTTATGGTCCTGCTAAAAAAAATACACTAATTTATTTTATTTTTGTACTGAAAATTGATTTTCTTTTTTTAGAAAGTTATTTGAAACTAATAAATCAGAGGAAAATAAAGCTTTTCAATGTGGGGACGTGTAATTATCAGGTGTATCGCATTACATTAGATAGTGTGCACCAGCAAAAAACGGTGGGCCTACTGTACATAATATATTGACACGTGTCATTTTAGTGATGATTTGTCAACGTCAAACGGCATCGTGGACTTGGAGGATATACTTTTATTCAATTTCCACGTGCTCTATAAATTTAAATAAAACGGTTAGAAGAAGGGAACTAGAAATGGACCGACATTTTCACGACCTGGTTATTGGACCATTATTGCATTTAGGCCTTTGATAAGTGTTATTGAATAAATTTATTTATGGGCTTTTTACTTATTTCGGCCTAATCATATGGGCTTTGTGGGCTTTACCCAATAACATATTTATTTTATTTTATAGTTCATTTTTTTTCAATTTGGTTCCATAGTGGTAATTGTGAGCTGTATTTTTGTTTATGTAAAAAAAAAAAAAAAAAAAGGATAACGAGCTATGCATGTATGCTGTAAACTAAGAATACAAATGCCCATAATTTTTGCATTAATAGTATAACTTAATTAATACCAATTTACATGTTTTTTTTATAATCCAAGTTACATGTTAGTATTAGGGTGTTGATACATGTGACCGGTTATTTAATTCGGTTTAGATATCATATATTTGGTTCGGTTTACGTTGGTTCTTGTCATTTACTTTGTTAGGCTTTCTTTTGTGAACATCATGTTTCATTATTTTTCGATTGTTTTTTTAGTAAAGACATGATAATTAATTTGTTTTGGAAATAAAAAAAATGGGTTTTCTATATTGTTGTCTGTTTTTTTATAAGTTAAGAACATCTAATTTGTTTTGAAAATAAATAAAAAATGATTTATTTTTCATTTTTTATTTTAATATAGTATTAGAATACAATAATAAAAAAATATTATAAAATTTAAATAAACCTAAAAATGGAGTGTGTGAGCAAGGCAAGATCTACTAGCCCTTGCTTCTACGTTCAAGAACGAATTTTCCTGTGGAGAATAAAAATAAAATAAATATATGAAAATGAAGTATGAACGTCGTGAAAATGCCACACGTTATATGAAATAATAACCATTTTATTCTAATTTTTGTTCTTATAATTAAATTTAGTCAACACACTATTCATTATTCTATAGTTTTCTTCATTATAAAACGAGGTCGGTCCAAGGTGCATTCATTGAACCATTAATAACCATACGCCATCGTAATATAATATTTAGAATTTGTTTTTTTTTTCACGAGACCAAAGACCAAATTAATATTGCCCCATGCTAAAGGGCAGGCAACGTTGGAGGTCGGAATTTATGTAATATTCTTTTTTTTTATGAAAATATATGTATATTTCAATTTTTCTCATAAAATATTGTAATATCTCTAAAAACAAAATCATTGTAAAATAATTGTGGATATTTTTTTTTCAAAATAACTATCCAATTCTCGTCTACTAACTTTTTTCATTATCATTTTGGACTACAATGCAAGTTATATATATATATATATATATATA